AGAATATAATGGGAAGAAAGATACTCTGAAGCTTGAAATTCAGAATCTAAATAGCTTAGACCTATGAAATAAGCATATGCTCTGGACCAGGGGTGTCAAACTCACGGTCCACAGGCCAGATGCATCATGTTCTGGAAAAGCCCACCCCATTTTAACAAAGGGGAAAAAAGTCGTGATACATCACTTGACGACAACACGATGATGCGAGTTTGACACCCCTGCTCTGGGCGGTGCTTTCATTCATAGCAAGTAGAGTTTCCAGGAACGGTTTTTTTATAGACTGGCCTAAAATATAACAAGATAATACTGCTCCCCATTCCATTTCCAAATGCCAGCTGGACTGGCAATCCGTTCTTTGGCTCTAGGATTGGGGAAAATTCCTTAGGTGTTTCTGGAAGTGTCACATAGGCTTCAGCGTCAGAATACAGTCTCAGTCGCCTTTTGATTCCTCCAGCTTCTTGAACTGAAACCTAATTCAATCTAATTGAACCCTGTTTAATCAATAAGGTATAGTTCCCCTCACACATATGTGCTAGTCCTTCCCGACTCTAGGAGTGGTGCTCATCTCCATTTCAAAGTTGAAGAGCCAGTGCTGTCCGAAGACATCTCTGTGGTCATGTGGCCGGCATGACTAAACACCAAAGGCACACGGAATGCTGTTACCTTCCCACCAAAGGTGGTCCCTATTTTTCTACTTGCATTTTTATATGCTTTCGAACTGCTAGGTTGGCAGAAGCTGGCACAAGTAACAGGAGCTCACTCCGTTACACAGCACTAGGGATTCGAACTGCTGAACTGCCGACCATTCACTCAATACCTTATTAATAAATCAGTAATTATAATAAAAATAATAATAAATCAATTGATTATTAATATAATCAATAACTTGTTAATAAATAATTATTTATCGAAATTACTTGAAAGAATGGTGGATAAGACACTACATGTTCTTTGCTTCAAACTTATATAGTATATCCAAGTGAGGTAGATTTATTTCCGAGGCAGGAAGCCTAATTAGCCAAAAGCAGTGGTGAAATCCAATTTTTTTTTACTACTAGTTCTGTGGGTGTGTCTTGGTGGGCATGGCAGGTGAAGGATACTGCAAAATCCCCATTCCTGCCCCAATCCTGGGGGAAGGATACTGCAAAATCCCCATTCCCACCCCACTCTGGGGCCAGCCAGGGTTGGTATTTGCCGATTCACTGAACTACTCAAAATTTCTGCTACTAGTTCTCCAGAACCTGTCAGAACCTGCTGGATTTCACCCCTGGGCAAAAGCCAACTATCACTTAGTCCATAGCATGAGAAAGCCAAGATAAAGAATACATTAAGACAGAGGGAAAAGTAGGGAAAGGAATGAGTAGATTCTACTTTTGGGGATAGAGCAAGGTATTGCATTGAAGTATATAAAGACACTGCCATGCTGAGATGGGAAATGGGACAACTTACCATAGCCAATTCACTGCAGCCAACTCACCAAAGCCAACTTGCCGTAGGAAAATTCACCACGGCCAACTTACAGCGGGACAACTCAGTGCAGGACAATTTAACAATTCTATTTAATTATTGAAAATAAATAACAATTATTTTAATTTTTTCCATTCATATTTTATTCTGTCCCTCGTTTTGCATCCTTTCTTTAATGATTCTATTCCACTATTTCGTTGATAAAGCAAAGATAAGAATTAGTATTATCCCTAAAGTACACACCTATAGATGCATCCAGAAAAATATTATGGTAATGTTCAAAAACTCTTAATTCTTTATGATTACGCAGAGATGGAATTCCCTTCTACAGATATTACAAAAGCACATGGAATATAAGTGTTTTAATTTTGAAGTGTTAAAATGGATAATTAAGTGATAAAATAAATTTCTACTTCTTCTGATGAGGTTATAAGTTTTTAAGAAAGATTTCTGGAATCAGAACAGACTGGGGTACATTATGGCAAAAAGTACAGAAGTTACTTATAAAAAGCCTCTTGTCTATATTCTTAATACTTGAGTATGTCCTTTGTATGCCAGTACCATCTGAGAATAGTCAGTTACAAGGGACCTAAATAGTTATACCCCAAAACTTCTTGAAAGGTCCAATTTGCTTAAAGATCATGCAAATACCAATCTGGCTAAGTGTCATGTAAACAATCTCCAGCAAAATACTAAATCAACTAGTATCAGTCACATACGATAAATCCTATACTCTACTATGGTATTAAAGTAATCCTTGGAAATAATTTTGAAGGATACTATGGTTTCTGAAGAATGAGCAATAAGTCTTTCACTGTGAAGTTGCCAATTAGGAATTTATAACTAATAAACCTTGTCCTATTTTAGTTCTTTGACACTTTCTGTCACATTTTCTCTATGTCCTCTTTGATGTGAGGTCTCAAAATTATATTAAACTGAAGTTTCCCCACCTATATACATCTTGCCTTCAACCTAGTAATATCTTCTGAAGGAAATTCTAAGTTGGTCATCACTGCTTGACTTTAGATAGCAGCACATGAGAAAGAAGATATCAGATTCTAATGTTCAGTGAAGCAGATACTGTTAATTACTGTGTTGCTTTGAAAGTTTTATTGTAAATTCATAAAAGATCTATAACTGTAAGATACGTTGATATAGGTCAAAGATTTCTGAAGCTGCATTAGAATTATCAGCATGCTACGGTGCATAAAATCCAAAGATGTAAATTAATGCAAGCTCTTAATCTTTGAATAAGAAATAGTTAAAGGTTTGTCTGCTTTTCTGTGTAAATAGGCTCCAAAAGCATTCCATTTTACAGCTATTTAAAAATTTCTGTAATGGCAAGGGTTATGGCAACCAACAGCTTGACAGGCTGCTATTGACTCAATCTGACTTGTGTGCCTCAAAGCCTGATCCTGCTGAATCAGTTGTTCTGACTTCTTCTGCCCTAGAGGTCCAGTCTCCACTACTGTATAGCTGGATGGCTGTGATAATCAACTGTGTTGGGTTATTTGTCATGAAAAATTCATTGACATATTATGTATGAATGTCTTGACATGGAGATTCTTTACCAAAGCAATGTTGATATTGAAACAGTATTTGTTAATCAAAATACCAAAAAAGCTTGAATGGAAGTATGTTTCTTTTGATTTTTTTGCCATCTAAGAAAAGCAATAAAACTGACAAACGTCAGTTTGGTGTAGTAATTAAGATGCTGACCTAGAAAACTGGAGACTGAGACCCACATTTGGCATGAAAGCCAACTGAGCCAGTCATCCTTCTTTCAGCCCAACTCATTTCATAAGGAGAAGGAGTTGCTGTGGAGAAAACAGGAGGGGGAAGGGGTATTGGTATGTATGCTTGAGTTGTTTATGGAAAAAAGGATAAGAATTAGATAGAAGATAGATAGATAGATAGATAGATAGATAGATAGATAGATAGATAGATAGATAGATAGATATAGACAGACAGACAGACAGACAGACAGACAGACAGACAGATTAATTGACAGATAGACAGATAGACATAAAATAAAACATTTTAAAAAATATAAAAAAATAAAGCCATGGAAATTTCAGCTTGTTTAAACCAGTAATATAAAAATCAGTATGTAAGGAAGAAAACTCAACCATAGCACAAAAAAATGGCTATTACCTGATAGCTTGTTTGATGTCATGAATCATTGCATTAACATAAGTGAATATTTTTTAATGAAATTACAGCATAAACAGAGCTTCTAAAACTAAATAAACAGACGAAGTTCAATTATCCTTTTTCCTCAACTATAAGTAAAAGTCCCACTGTATTAATTTATATATATATAGACTGTTAAGGCAGAAAGCTAGTAAACTACCAGCTATGTGTTCAGACTTCAGAGTAGCCATCTGTAATTTGGGAATATATTGAACTTCAGCTCCCAGAATTTCAAGCAGCATGTCCAAATCTTGATCTTCTGGATGCAGAAAAACAACATATTTGGAGGGTATCACATGGAGCAAGATTGTCTCAAAACATCACAGCCTCAGGTACATGAAGAGATAATCTGTAGCAGCCAGATTTTTTCAATTGGCTGGTAGATTTAAACTCCTGGATTGGTTAATCCTAATCCAGTTTTTAGTTAATGAGTATCTTGGATATAATATCCTCTAGTACAACTATCATCTTTTCTACTGATATAAATAAACTTTCCTTACAATGGCATCGGGCCATTGTGTTAGTGCTCACAATGCATCAGAATGATCTCAATTGGTGGCACTGTGGGCAATTTAAGGCATATGATTTGATAGTCCCAACATAAGCAATAATCTAGGCCCTCATGCTTTCCATGAAATGTCATTAGGACAGTTTCCATACCAATCTGGACTCATTCCTTCTTTGGACAATAAGCAGTATTTTTGTACAAAGCATATTATCTCTAACTTCCATCTTTGTATCAAAATATATAATTCATCAGTGGACATACCTCTGAATAGGAAAATACATATCCCAGATCAAAATTCAGGTTATTTTATACACTGCATGGCATCAAATTTATAGAGCTACCCAAGTCAACCAACTCAGGACAGATACAACAAAACAGCTAATACAAAACACCCAATTATAAGCAAGGCTAGATAAAAATGAGAAAAGCAAGCAAGCAAACAAGCAAGCAAACAAAAAAGCCCGTCTGATAACAAAAAGGCATCAAAACCAATTTCTTACCCCAGGGCCTGGGGAAAGAACCAGACAATTAAAACTAATTTGCTGGGCAATGAAGTTGGGGCCATATGAACCTCTGGAGATATGTCATTCTAGACAGCAAATGCCATGACAGTAAGTTATGATGCTATAATAATTTCTTAGTGTAACCATATTTAGGTTAAATCAGATGTTGGCCAATTCAACTACTAAAAGATCTTGGCCAAGTTCCTATAAGAAGATGCCAATGGATTTCTCACACCTAAAACTGTTATACTATACACTGTTCAGGATTGTAAAATTGCCATTGCTGCTTGCCAGTCAAGTACATTTATAACCAAATGCAGACACTTTACCTTTTCTTCTTGATCGATGATGACCAATTGTTACTCCATATATCCTTGCATTTTGAGGCTTGCTCAGATTTCTGCACTCTGGCTGTATTAAGAATTGTTCTGTTTATATAAAAAGGAAAATCCATTTGAAAGAAGAGCAAACACTCTTTACAACAGCACAATGAATTGCTGAAAAGATAAGTAACAGATCAAATTATGAAAGTAATAAGAAATATCAATGAGGTCTATTTCAGTCTGAAGATGAATGACTTTGAATTGCCACCCAATGCAGAATTTATTTTTTTAAACTTGATTTTGGATTGAATTGTGTAGTGCATTGTGTAGATGCTAATGTAAATCAGAAACACATTAAAAGAAATATAATTCCCACTTCAACTTCAATAGAAATACATTTCAATCCCATTTCCCAACTTCAATAGAAATACAATTCAAAATTGTATTGACATATTTTACAATAAATATAAAATGTTTTTCTTGAGTGTTCTCAAAATTCTATTTAAAAAACAAATCACAGGATCTTATCTGTTTTTAATGGCAGTGTCAAGTTTTTGCAATTCTACTACAACTTCACTCCAGGATAGCTGTAAGAAGAAAACATTGATTTATAAGCAAATGCATTCTGATACATTAATTCTGAATGCTTTATGCTGGGCAGCTTACGCTGGGCAATTGTCCCTAGAACAGTTCTATGGACAGATGATCATATAAAGTAAAACAGTGAACCCTAATCTAAGTCAGCTGTATTAAATAGTACAAAATGCCCAGCATAAACCATTCAGAATTAATATGTCAGAATGTAATTGCTTATAAATCAATGCTTCCTTCTTACAGCTACCCTGGAGTGAAGTTGTACTAGCATTGCAAAAGCTTGATGCTGCCCTTAAAAACAGATAATTCAAGTTAAGTATTTGGAGGAATAGTGAAAAGCAGAAAACTTTAGTAAAGCAAAGCAACTTCAGCTACCACCATCCTAGCCATTAATTTGTCCTAATAATTGGAGCAGTTATTAGGGCAAATTAATTTACCCAAAATCAATGCTTATTTATAGTTAAAGCAAATACTTAATCACTCTGCTTTGCTCTAATCTTTACATCAGCTGATTCTTTTATCCTGCATTTTGGGTATCCAGCTAATTGTATGTGGCATTGTGACCTTGGGTTCAAGTTTTTATTCTAAATATTTTTTTTTCTTTCTCCAAATATTCTCATTTTCATTGTCTCTGTCCTTCTCTCCCTCTCTCCCTCCCTCCTGCTGTCTTCCTCCTTCTCCCAATCTCTCCATTTATTCATTAATTCTGCTCCTATAAAAAAGGTGAATAAATGGCAATTTAGTTATTCTACACAGCAACAATATCACCAAATGAGCTCACATATGCTGGCTTGGGAACTCTAAGAGTTGAAGCTCATGAAACTTAAAATTGCCAAGCTGAAAAACAACTCCTTATGACATATGTTGCCTCAGCAAGAGGGTTGCAATGCAGTAAGGAGAAACCATTACAATGGCTGCAAGCACTGGGCCTCTGGTAGGCAACTTAAATACAGCCTGACAAAAAGCTCTGTACCCCAGGGATGTTATGTTCTTTGAGGGGAAGGTGAAATGCAGCCTACATAGTCTTTTCATCTTCTTCAACCCTTCCATAAGTGCTCTCTGTGTTACAGAAGCTTCCATCCAATGGCTGGGATGCTTACAGGTGACTTTTCTGCAGCTCCTGCAGCTCCACAGAAATCTTTATAGCTTTTCTAACCTCCATGTAGTCTGCTGCTGGCCACAGGAGGGCATAAGGAAAGGAAGCAAAGCAGGAGGAGCAAAGGTATGTGTCCATTTAATTTTGCAGTCCAAAGCAAGTAAAGGATGCACATTATCCTATGAAGCAGCTTGTAGTATTTTGCTCGAATTTGTCAAACTGACATCTTTCCACTTCCTCTCAAGATTTGCATGTCAATATTGAATTCTGTAGGACAGCTACCAAGACAGAAGAAACGAGGAAATTCACAAAGCTCTTGGAAGTAGGAATATCTCTAAGTCCTTTTAGAAATAAGGCCAGCTGAATTGCACCCAACCTTTTACAATAAGCAGCCATGAATTTTAGTTGACTATAGCCCAATATATTGATGTAATATGTTTCATCCCTGAAAACAGCTTCCTTCCCACCTACCTTCAGCTAATACTATCTCTCACTATGACATGGATAAGAGTAGACTTCTACAACATGCACATTAAAGAAACTGGCATTGAAAAATAATGTTTGAATAATCACAGTAAGGAATATTTGACTGTTGATGTAGTCTAAAAATCAGCCCTTGACTCGGCAAAAGTTGATAAAGAAGGCAGCTGTTGTGTCTTGAGAAAAGTGTTTTGCCTTCCCAAGGGCAGGACAAGAAGTGACATATAGAAGAGTATTAAAGAGAGATCCAACCCACAATTAAGGAGAAATTTCCTGACAGTGAGAACAATTAATCAGTAGAACAGTTTGCCTTCTGGAGTTATGAGTGCTCCATCACTGGAGGTTTTTAAGAAGAGATTGGATAGAGGCTCCAATTTCCCTTCTGATATTCTATTATTCTGCTTCCTAATATTGTGACTACAGAGTTAAAAGCCAAGGAAAAGGATAAGAAAACAACAGTTAAGAGGTGGTAGTCAAATTTATAAAGCAATTAGCACTCTTCAGCCATGGTGTGAACCCTAATCACTGCATTCCAAAATGAAACAGAGAGACAGTCAGACAGATTATAAAAATATCAGTGCTATGGACCATAAAATACTTTGGCAGAACAAAAGAGTAACAGGCAAGCACAGGGGCATGAATAAAAACCTGTTTTCTCATATAAATAGTTTTAGCAAAGTGAAATATACTTCTGTTTTTACCTTATTGTCCTAAACCAGAATGTAAATTATTTTGTGTGGGCTTAATTCAGTGTTTTAAGTTAACCATTTCATTCACTAAGCAACTGAAGAAAAATAAAACACATTGTGATTTATTACAACGCGAGAATTCAGTACTTCCTTTCTACTTTTTTAAAGGCTTTTTCCCTTTTTATCTCTGCAAATCTTCATGAATGGAAACTTGAAATAATATAAATATTATTTGATGTGAGTAGTATTTGAAGCTTCCATTTGTCCTTATAACATAATGGAAAGACCTATTCTAACTATTGCTGTACTTAGAGTAAGCACATTGAAATCAATATCTTAAATTGATTTAAGTTAGCAAATAAGTAACTTGTCTCATTTCAGTATTTTCAGCAGATTTTCTCTAAGCATGACCAAATTTGGGTCCATACCATAACTCCTTACAAAAAAATCTAATTATTCTAGTTTTAGCTCTATAATTTCTTGTCAGACATCTCCTGAATTGGATGCAGTTGTTTGCAGCCTGAGTCCAACTTCAGAACTCATACCAACAGTTGAGAAATCCAAACTAAGCTAAACCAATTATTGATGGCAGGATGTTATGCTGGGTTGGTATATTTGTTTCTTTTGGTTGTTTTTTGCTTTGTATGTTAATGTTCTAAATTTATTATCTATCTCAACCTTCCTCCAAACTCAAAATACTCTCCTTTCTTTATGATGTTGGTGGCTCACTGGAGATGCACTTTACAATCCTCTGCAGCTTATTGTACAGCACTTAGCCAAAAATAGTTACCCGTGCCTAACCTAGATGAAATTTCCTCCTGCCACCCAATTGTTCTATGTAACTTAGAGCTACCACATCTGCACTGCAACATATATATCTACATCTGTACATCTTTGCTGGCATCTAGAGGCTGTTAGGATTTTTGCAACTTAAATGTCATTAACCTAATCCTCTCTAAACCTTATCTTGCAATTCCCTGGAATCAAGGAAAGAACACATTCTCTTAGACAAGAGAATTTCTATTGAACCATCCACAGCAGTGGTTTAACATTTATAAATCTACCAGAAAAATGCCCGTGTGAACAAGATTGCATTCCCTAGTGGTTGGTCATGTGTGTGTGTGTGTGTGTGTGTGTGTGTTAAATCTAGGGCTACCAAATCTGGACTACAAAAATCCAGACGATTGCTAGATAACAGTAAGATGTTATACAGTTTTCTGTATTTCTTTGCTGACTTCTTGGAGCATCTCAGTTTTTATCGGCTCAGATTGGTAGCTATGGTAAATATTTGTATTACATTTTTATATTTATATTTGTAAAGCATTGCAGTACAGCAAGCAGTAAATGTTTCCTATGTGACAACTGATTTCATATAGGTACATCACACAACAGTGGAACAACTTTTTTCAGCCAGGGACATATTTGGAACATTGGGAGCAGATGTGGGCTGCTGCATTCCCAAAGGGTTACCATGGAAATCTGCCTATTTAAAATGGGAAGGGCCATTGAGCTGTCAAATCCAAGCTGCAAACTCAGACATGGAAACAGCAAAGAGTTAAGTTTTATGCATCTTCTTGTACCTCCCTGCAGGTATGTAACCCAGATCTAGTATCCTGAACAAAAATATGCATTTTTCAAGAGGTAAATGAACTTCTCAGGATGTGCTGCCTTTCTAGGAGATGAAAAGGGATCTTTTAACAGTCCAAAGTACTCCAATAAATAAACGGTAAGGACCAATGGTTTGCATTATGATATTGATTGGCTGATTTGATCGATACCCCACTTTTCATGAAAGAGCTCAAGGGTGCATAGTGTTCTGTCCTCCTTTTTCTCTTACCACAATAAGCCTACGAAGTGAGTTCAGCTGAAAGAGACCAAGAGCCACCAGATGACAATCCATGGTTGTGGGAATGGAACTGAACTGAGGTGTCCTCATTCCTAGTCCTTACCCCACACTTACCTGCTTCCTACAATAATCTATTTCTAAAATGTAAGTGGAATAAAAAAGCCTGGTAAACATAAGAAGAAGGGCATTGGCACTTACTGTTTTCCACAGGCACCAACCAACCTGTCAATTCGAAGAGATTTTCTGAAAGTAAATAACAGGAGCTTTTTCCTGAGGTATCCTTTTATTTTTACAGAGAACAGAAAATAAACGGGAAGCTTGCTCTCTACTTCCCATTCTGTCTGTCTCTGTAAACCATCTCATTTGGCCATTGCTTTGGCTGAACACAACAGTGGTAATTTTTTAAAGCATGGTAATAGCAAACTTTATTCAACCAGCAACTTAGTTTTTTGTGCTGCATGCTTATTGTGTGAAGAGGCACTTGTAATGATATATTTCACTACTTCTCTGTGTGAATTTGAGGTTTATAGGAAGCTAGTATAACAAATGATAGATGAGCACTAGTAAATATGATGCCAAAGAGCTTAAATATGAATGTCTTTTCCTTTGAAAAATTTTCATCCCAGATCCCTTTAAATGATGATGGTATTAATAATCACAGGAAAGATGTTACTATGCGCCTGCATACACACACACACAAACATCTAGTAGCATATCAAAGAAAGGACTGGAGACAAAGTAAAAGATAAAATTCAAGAAACTTAGAAAGAAACAGAAATGGGTGTCAAGTAAATCATTTTCCAAACTACTTCAGAAATATTATTATTCTGTTTGCTTAAATGTGGAACAAAGACAAGTCTAAGGCAAGGCATACCATTTTTCCAGTGTTACAAATTAGTGTGTTTTCTGCTGTTGTGTAAAGATAGCATTTACTGAACTCTGGGGTTTACTTCAAGAGATCTGAAATATATGTTCAGTATATAGTCTTACACACTTACACAAAGTTTTAAAAGTGCTGTTAGTAGAGCATCAGATACATTTGTCCAACTAGTAGTGTAATGAAAGATTATTGCACTAATAGACAACTGAACTTTAGGAAATAATTGGATCACCATCTAGAAGAAGGGTGAGGGGGGCATCTTAGCTTCCTGTGCAATAATTCCTTACATTACTGCCCAACCCAAAGTGACAAACCACTGAGACCTTTTGAGATGCTCCGCAGCCTCAGCGCAGGCTGATGTTAGCAGTGACCCTTTCTGGTTCAAGATAATGCAGAGGTGTATTCCCAACACAGCAAACCCCTCACCATCTTTACCTGTCGGGGGCCACCGGAGTGACCAGGCGGACGTTCGTGGGGGATCGGAGGTACCTCATCACTCTGGGGGTGTAGTCCGTCGCAGCTCTGCCCTCCATGTCCCAGCCACTGGCAAGCAAGGAAGCAAGCAAGCAAGAGAGACCAAAGTTGTCCTAGAGTGCCCAGCGAGAGGAGCGGTCAGCAAGAGCCACAGCACGCCCTTACCCAGCGGCTAATCCTACTTGTAGTCTCCGCGGGACCGTGACCTATGTACACCCGGTCCGGGATAGAGGCACCCCCATTTGCCATCTGTGCCCCCCGAACTCTGTTCCCCCTTCCTAAGCCACGCCTCCCCCGTGGAAGCTCCGGGTCTCCTCTGCCTACCTTGCGCCCCCGGCGCCGTCGGCCGGGAGCCGCGCCAAGCACAGGAAGAGGAGCAAGCTACCGATCAGAGCAAGCAGGGCAAGGACCGCCCGCATCGTGCGCTCTCCCGCCTGCAGCTGCCGGGGTAGCTGGACGGCGACGCGACCCGAAAGCTCCAGAAAGACCGAGGAACGGAAGATGAAGAAGCGACGGCGACGGCAGCCCCCCTCTGCAGTGATGGCAACCCAGTCAGGTCGGCGGCAGTGGCGGTGGTGGGTAAAGGAGGGGCGGCGATGGCCCGCCCAGGGTCGCCTCCTCCTCTTTGGCCGCGCCGCCTCCCCAGCTGCTTCAACTCGCGAGGGGCGACCACCGCCAGTCCGGCTCGGTGGCAAGAGATTCGCCTCCTTCTAGGTCTGACGAAGCCAAGGGGAGGGGAGCACCTTGTCCTAGCCCTGCGAGCATCCCTTGGCAGCCCGCCTCCATTTCTCTCCCCCGCGGTCTCTCGCTCGCTCTTCTCCTGTCTACACCAGCGCCTGGAGGGACGGAAACGGAATGGGGTGGTGGAGGGAGAGTGGCGCGGGGAAGAGAGTGGGAGTAATCGGGTGCCATGAAAGAGAAGAGCGGAGCGAAACCAAAATATTTGCCAGCACCCATTTCCCAGCAGCAACTGGTGTAAAACGACAGGAAAAGGGTGCCTCTGAGCATGTGAAGAATGGTAGAGCTTTAGGGACAATAACTGGATCTTAATCTTCTCATGAGGCCCAAGCAAGCCTAGTGTGAAAAAGCCACCAGAGCCCTTTCTGTATTTAATGATAGTGTTGCAGGAGTAAGATTTCAACCCAAGCCTTGATAAATTTAACAGATTTAACAGATTAACAGAGTTGGAAGAGGCCCCTGCCCAAGCAGGAGATCCTACACCATTTCTGACAGATGGCCATCTAGGCTCTTCTTGAAAACTTCCAGTGATGAAGGTCCCACAACTTGTAAAACCCTCTATGTAGGAAATTTCTCAGGTTTAAATTGTGGTCATCCATCCAAAGCTACTACTAGAATGGAGGACTGCCAAGCCCTCCCATGTGAGCAATTTTTTGCTCACTTTTCCTTTAAAGGTAATAGTGAGAAAAGGAAAACAGAAGAGGGTCAGCCTTGCCCCTCCTTATCTCTTCTCACTAGTTACTTTTGTTACCAACAAATGTATTGACACAACCAGCTTGAGAAGATCACTTCTAAATCTAGCACCTGTATAGCTACAATATGCTAATAAATGTTATTTTTACCTTGGTTGAGGGTTTTTAAAATTTATTCATCATGTGAACTTAGAACTTAGTCATGGATCAACACAAGCAAACTCATTGGCTGCTTTCACTGCATTAACCTGGTTAATGAATAAATATATTTCTTAAGTCCATAGCTTGTGAAATATCAGACTATCAAAGACTAGATCTAATGTGTTATATCCAGCATCAGGCCACAGGTCCTGTTTGTGCTTTTTCCAAGGCGTGTCTGAATAGCTATTTGTGAAAAGGAACTGAGAAGTAAATGCTGGACTGGAAGTGTGTACAGTCTAATTCAGCAGTATGTTATTTTCACCCTTTGTCTTCTAAACATGGAATAGGATATGAAGGGACCCAAATGTAGTGGGTGGGTAAGAATCTCTGTGGGGGGCATGTGTCTGGTCCTGACTCAAGCATGAAAGCTGTCTGGATGACTTCAGGTCAGTCACTTTTCTTTCTGCCCAGGTCACCCCACAAGGTTGTTATTGTGGGGAGAATAGGAAGAGGAAAGAGTATTGTGTATGTTTGTCAGCTTGAGTTGTACATGAAAATAAGGTGGCGTAGAAATCTGAAAAAAGATATACCAGAGAAGTAATAGGCTGGACAAAACCAAATAAATATATTTGTTTTCTGCCATCTTCTTATTCACTGCCTCTTTTTGTTACTTCTCTTTGACTCTCTGTTTCTCACTGTTTCCTGCCCCAACCCACCCTTGCCCTCCATATCCGGAAGACTAGCAGAAATTATCCTGCCAAAGGTCTCAACTGTTTGCCTATGGAGGGCACATGAAATATAGTCAAGGGCACATCAAAGAGGGCCCATGCCCAGCTCTAATATTTAGTCACACCTTTAATCTTAATAAAGAGTCATATGTTTACTCTTGGATTTGATCCTTGATCATCCTCATTGGATTTGTCATGGATTTTGGAAGATCAAATAACTATTATTTGTCTTTTGCTTATTGTTTGAACTGATCTGAAATTTGCTAGCATAGGAGGGTTAATCCCAATAAATCTCAGTCAGGCAGACAAGTCAAGAGACTTTGTGCAAAGCTTCTCTTTAAATTTCAATGCTTTGTTTTTACAGAAATGTCCTTCAGGGAATTCTGTTTGGAAGTTACAGCCAACCTAGTATAGTTTATTGTGTATCATCCACCAACATTGCAAGATTTTTCCTTCAATAATTGTATTAAAGATTATATTATGCAAGCAAAACTTCTACAGCTACAAAATGGCACGTCTTTTTCATTTATGGATAATTTAAAGAAACTCATAGAAGATTATTGAATTGGCTAGAAAAAGAGAAAACAAAACCAACTTTCTGAATCCCTGTAGGACTTCCAAAAACTGTTTTGCCTCAGATAGATGTTGACAGAAACATGTCATATGTGCAGGCACATCTAATACAAGGTTATTAGTGTCAGATTTTTGTCTTCCTGGGGATTTTGCACACCACAAGATATAAAGATAGTCACCTGATAGGCAAAATGCTTGTGTGCCTATGTCAGTGTAATTTTTACAGAGACATTGGGAAGGGGGAAGTTCTTATACTTGAACTCTAAAAAACAGGGAATCATATTCCAGTTAACTCAACTCTTTTTATTTCTGTCCTTCAGAGATGCTGTTTCGATGCATGAAGAGGCTTTTGATGCTCTGAAGAACATTTATTTTTAGCGTGCCATAAATTTGGTACCTGTTCTCCCTCCCCTTCCACCCCCTCCCAAAAAATTGTACCACCGATTGTATCAAAGCGTTGAGTCAACATTTTTGTGTTCAAGAGGGTGAACTTCTTTATGATCTGTTTCATAATGAAATGCGTTCATAGCATTGAACTTTAGAACACTTAAACATACTTCAAAATAAATTCTTCTTAAGTGCGGGCAGTACTGAACATCTAAAAAGTGAAAATTCTTTTCATGACGAATTAGAGGACATCCAACAAAAAAGAAATGAAGGCAAGGATGACACTCAGATCTGGTAAAAACTCTACCGAATCAAGATATTCCCTAATTAATGTGTCATCCTGTCTCCACCAGTGGTCAGCCAGATGTTTCTTGTAAATTTGTAAACAGGACCTGTAATTGTTAGTCAACAGCTGTCCCCTAATTTCTGCTGTCAGTATCTGGGTTTCAGAGATGTATCTTCTCTAAATATAAGTGTTCCACTTAGGTAACTACATGGCTACATGATTTCCAATCTGGATCTACTTGAATGTTTCTTCCATGCCTGCTAACATGCAAATTAAGGTAATAATGCTTAATGGTAGTTCAAGTCAAGGGCACAGAATATTGTACAAGCATTTGAATATGCTAGGTCACTTTATGCGAAGCAAAAGAAAAGGGGAAGGAAACAAACTCAGATCACATTCAGACAACACATCAAATGGACCCAAGGATTGACAGAGGATGTGATTCATTATGTTTCTCTCTGTTATCCCTCAGGCCTTGCCTACAGCCACTGCCAGTTTGCTTCAGACTTTTGACACTATCTGTCTTGGATCAGTTCCTTTTTCACTGTTTCCTCTATCATCTGCCATGGCTTCTTCATGCTGCCATACTAAAAGAAAATACCTGAAATAAAGCATGTGTTCTTTGTGGTTTTTCTCCTCCTCCTCCTCCTCCTCCTCCTCCTCCTCCTCCTCCTCCTCCCTCTTTGTTTAAACATCTATGCAACCTTGGCTGATTTTGAATAGCTATGCAGGGATAAACATGCTGATACTAGGGTCACCATGATATTTCGAAGCTGTAAAATATTTCAAAGAAGTATCCCAGAAGGAGATAGTGGGAAAGATAGTCTAAATTGGAGATGGGGAAGAGCCAAGTTAGTTTATGAACAAAGTGGAGTCTGGTAGTACATTCAAGATTAAGTTCATTAGGATGTAAGCTGCTCTCAAAATCTTATGCTCTAATAAATTTGATTAGTCTTGAAAGTGCTACCAGACTCCATGTTTATTAATTTTTTGTAGTTTTGCCAAAAAATGTACAGGAAAGTATTCATGTATTTATCAGGTGTTCAGCTTGAGTCTTATCTCTCAAGTTAATAAGAGAAGAAGCTTTTGGAAAACACAGTAAATCCTAAACAATCAAGAAATGTGCAGGGCCTGTGACTTATTGTCAGAATGGACAGAAAGATTGTTCCCATCACAAGATGAGATGTAACCACAATGTCAATCACAATCCTTTTTTAAAAAGGAAATATTTTTTTTAAAAAACCATTTTGCTCGGTTACCATCATTCTTAAGAAGCAGTCATAGAGAACTGAAATGGTTTGCATGTTAATGAATTAACCACATTGCCTTAATATATATTTTGAGATTTTTTTTTTATAGCCAAAACAACCTTGGCTTTTCATCCTCCAGCTTGACTATAATCAAGGAGAGCTAGAATAAATTTCTCTATGTTTATCTATGCATGCAACAAAAAGGAAAGTTGCAAACAAGTCCCCTTTTGCAAAATTATAGGGGTTTTAGTGGGAATCTAGTCAAGCAAGACCAATAATATGATAAAGGTAGGGGGTGCCTGTGGGGTATATCTGTATGTCTATTTTCCTTCTGTTCAATCTCATTTGATTGTCAGAGATTGCCTGGACAATTCCCTGAGGTTTTCTTGGCAAGGTTCTTTACAAGTGTTCCTCCCTAGAGCTGAGAGAGAGTCACTAGCCCAAGGTCACTCAGGCTTTGTGCCTAGGGTGAGAGTAGAACTTATGTGTCTCAGTCTCTATAGCCTAATCCCTTAACATTTTAAAATTAAATTGTGATCTTGAGATAGGGGACATAGTCATTGAGCCCTTGTCATGGTCGGATCACTCTCTCCTTCGCCTTGACCTTCGAACCGCGGTACCCCGCCGCAGGGAGGCGGAACCGGTAAGATGGTACAACCCCAGGCTCCTGATGGAACCTGAGTCTGGAGACCTAGTGGCCGCTTGGGATAGAGCGGCCGCTGGAGCTCTGGATCGAGTCGTGCCTTTGCGGCCTCTGACCCGGCGCCGTTCTCACCTGGCTCCTTGGTTTACTGAGGAGCTGAGGGAGATGAAGCGCCGGAAAAGACGCCTAGAGAGTAGTTGGAGGGCTAGTCTTTCTGAATCGGACCGGACACTGGTAAGATCTCATATTAAGAATTACCTAGTGGCAATAAAAGCAGCAAAATGTACTCAT